GGGGTGTGTGTGTGTGTGTGTGTGTGTGTGTGTGTGTGTGTGTGTGTGTTTATGGCAGGAAAGGTCTGAGTGTTAGAGCACTTGTCTAATACGCAAGGTCCTATGTTCAAACTCCACTACTACAATAGTTCATTTTTGAGGTAAAGGTCTCTCTATGCATGCTGGGCTTAAAGAGGTGTGCCACCACACCCAGCAGCAAACAACTCATTAAACTGGTGGTTGTGGAAGAGCTGATAAGACACCTAAGAGACAGGGGTTGGAGAGATGGCTCAGAGGTTAAGAGCCCTGAATGCTCTTCCAGAGGTCCTGAGTTCAATTTCCAGCAACCACATGGTGACTCACAACCATTTATAATGAGATCTGGTGCCCTCTTTTGGTCTGGAGGGATACATGCATACATAATAAATAAATCTTTAAGAAAAAAAGACACCTAAGAGACACATGTGAGAGGCTGAGTCACACCAAGGGGAAAGTGTATTTGACTCTTTGGGGGGCTCTTCTCTAGAGACCAAATACACATCCCTTGTAGAAAGCAGAGGTCATGAGACCAGAGCCTTATAAAGCACTCCAAAATTCAATCTACCTGAAGGAGACCCCACCCCACCGCTCACAGCTGGGGCTTCCTCCTGGACCTCAGATTAGACACAAACCACACCCAAACACCTGTTTTCCCAGAGAGATCCTTTATTCTGCGAAGAAAAGTTAAAGTGGCTGCTTTCTGACTCAGGCAGAAAAACTGCAGCAAATGATCTTGTAAGTGTAACTTTTAAGAGGAGAAACGGGGGGAGGGCGTGTTAGAATGGGCTAGGATGCACTGGAGAGATGGCTCAGCAGTTAAGAACACTGGCTGCTCTTACACAGGACCCATGTTCAATTCCCAGCAACTACATGGCAGCTCACAACTGTAACTACAACCCAATGCCCTTTCACAGGCAAAACAAAACACCAATGCACATTAAAAATAAATAATAAAAAAATGAGCTAGGATGTGGTGGTATAGGAGCTAGAGAATGAGGGAGAAGGGAAGGGGATAAGGGAAAGGGGCAGGGGTATTTGTTCCTGAGGGACAAAGGAATGCCTCTGGGTAGAGTGGATACAAACCTGGCACATAAGAAATGGGGTTTATAAAGTAAAATGGGACACCCCCCCCTTTAGGGTGAGGTGTTTAATCTTAATTGGGCATGTTAATTAGGTGAGCCAAAGGAGGGGCTTTTGATTTCTGGACTTTAATACTTTGATAGCTGGACCTTGGTAGTCGGCTTCAGGAGGAGGAAGAGGCCAAATAAGGGAGTAGTAGCTTCAGGAATGTAACCTAAAGGTTTTTAGCAAGGCAGAGGAAACTGGGAAGAAGAGCAAGGCCTGCCAGAGCCACTCGAGGAGGCTAGAGGAGGCTAGAGTCTGTTCACTACCTACTAGTTCAGGTAGCAGATGGCAACTGAAATGAGAGGAAGGGCCAGGAAAAATGGTCATTGGTAAAGAGTGCCATACCGAATGGGATACAGCATACAACCATGTGTTCCTGGTTTGTACCTGTAATCCCAGCTAGCACTTGGGAGTCTGAGGCAGGAGGATTGTTTCAGTTTCAAGACCAGACAGGGCTACATAGTTGTAGGCCAGCTTGGGCTACAGAATAAGTCCTTGCCTCAAATACACATACATACATAGGAGCCCCAAACCAACCAACCAAAAAAGAAACTCAGAACGGGGCCAGAAGTATATCTGTTTTGTAGTTTATGAAATATCTGTTTTATGTTTTGCCTACATGTATGTATGTGCACCATATAATTGTCTCGTGCTCCCTGAGGTCAGAAGTGGGCACCAGAACCCCTGGAGCCAGAGTTAGGGATGGCTGTGAGCCACCTAAATACTGAACTCAGGTCCTCTGCAAAAGCAGCAAGTGCTCTCAAGCAATGAGTCATTTCTCCAGCCCTGTATCAGATTATTTTTCAATTCATAGACAATTACATATACATAATATGGTATCTTAGAAGACCCAAGTCTAAATAAGAAATTATATTTTATACACACTTTTTACATGTACCCTGAGGTAATTTAAATTAATGTGTATGGTATTTTGTCTGCATATATGTCTGTCTGTCCATCAACTGCACACAGTGCTCATGGAGTCCAGAAAAGGGAGTCAGATCCCCAGGTACTAAAGTTACATGGGTTGTAAACCTCCTTATGGATTCTGAGATCAAACCAAGTTCCACTGAGCCATTGTTTCAGCCCCTATTTGGTTTTTTGTTTTGTTTTCTTTTCTTTTCTTAAAACAGGATCTCACTCAGTAATTCTCTCAGTCTTTGTTAGAATAACATCATTCTCCTGCCTCAGTCTCCCAAGTGTCAAGATTATAGGTATGCATCACTACAACCCCTGGCTTATGCAGCCTGGGGATCTGACTCTGGGCTTCTTGTATGCTAGGTTAGCACTCTACCAACTGAGCCACCTCTCTAGCCCCAAGATAATAAGTCAAAGGGGGAAAGGTTGTTCCAGTTCATGACCTTAGAGGTTTTAGCCATAGCCTCTGGGACCTTTGGTTGCACAATGCAGCATGGTGAGAGCATATGGAGGAATGACTATGTTCAGAGGCAGGAAAGCAGAGAGGATGGTTCCAACAGACCTTCAGGGACATTCAGTTAGTGACCATCTGCCTTCTTGTAGGCCTCACCTCCTAAAAACTCCTCCATCTCCTGACAGTGTTGCAGGCTTACAGTCCTTGGCCATGGCGATGCTGTGTTAACAGTTTCTTCTGAGACTGAAACATTCCATCTATAGAGAAGCTCCTTAAGTGGAAGGCAATTCAAAAATAGCTTCAGAAAGTCTCTGAAACTGACCAGATTCACTAGTCCCTATTTGCCAGAGTAAACCACAAAAGTTGAGAGTCCCTCTGGGATGAACAAAAGCTGAGTTGCACAGGCAACTCTCAGAGAGCTAAGCAGTGAAGACCCTGAAACCAGACAAGTTGCCTGGAAGAAGCAGACACCAGCTGAGCTCCCTGGCAGAGGATTAGACTATCCAAAGGACCACCAAAGGCCACTCTCTCACTTGCTGAGCTGCCTGCAGGCTGTGCAGTACCATCCAGGTTCCAGTTTTGTGAGCTATCACTCATGCTCGGGTGGGCTTTGGTAACACAGCTGTCTTTGAGTCATTTCTGCTCCTGTAAGTAATCCCCCACCCATATTCCTGTCAGTAAAAACAATAAAACTCATTGGCTCTCCCAAACTGGACTTTGGTGGTATCCATACTTTGGAAGATAAGTGTGCTGCATCTCTCCAGGAAGAGTGTTGTTACACAACAGGCATATAGGCCTTTGGGAGACACTTCAGATACAAACCATGAAAGTACTGTTTTGTACTGGTGAGATCGTGCTGTCACTCAAAAACTTTCAGGTTTTAGAGTGTTTTGGATTTCAGGTTTTTCAGTTTAAACTATGTTAGCAAAACAAGGGAACAGGAGCAAAATTGATTTTAAAAATTAGGTTGGAGGTGGTGGCATACCCCTTTGAGCCCAACACTAGGAAGGCAGAGGCAGGTGGATCTCTGTGAGTTCCAGGCCAGCCTGGTCTACAAAGTGAGTTCAAGGACAGCCAGAGCTACACAGAGAAACCCTGTCTCTAAAAACCAAAATTCAATAAATATAAAAATGAAAATTAGCTAAGGGATTGGAAAGATGACTCAGCAGTTAAGAGCAATTCCAATTCTGTAGAGGACCAGAGTTCAATTTTCAGCATCCACATGATGGCTCACAATTGTAACTCCGGTTCCAGGGATCCAATGCCCTCTTCTGGCCCACACTGGCACTGCACACATGTGACTAACACTCAGGCAAAAAAAAATCCATATACATAAAAATAAAGATAGGATCTCTCCTTGGCTTGAAACTTACCAAGTAGGTTAGGCTGACTAGCTACAGGTATTTGCCTGTTTCTGCCTCACCAGGGCCTGGATACAAGCACATGCCATGTACCTGGCTTTTTTTCATGGGAGTTCTGAAGACTCCACTTTGATTGTTGTGCTAGTGTTTTACCAACTGAGCCATCTCCACAGCCTGAGAAGCACAACTCACAAGGGGAGAAAAGAGACGAGCATCTTACTAGAAAACAGGAAGTACATGTAAGACCATGTGCAGGATAGAGGGAGGCATAGATGTGACCGCTGGGGGTGGGGAGGGGCACACAATGCCCATGCTGAAGGTACTCTGGCAAACTCAAAAGTATGGCCAGCATGGCTCTGGCAGGCTTTGCTCTTCTCCTGTATTTCCTCTGCCTTGCTAAAAAACCTTTAGATTACATTCCTGAAGCTAGCCTGCAAGGTCTATTTCCTTATTTGGCCATTTCCTCCTCCTGAGACTGACTACCAAGGTCCAGCTATCATAGTATTGAAGTCTAGAAATCAAAAGCCCCCTTTGGCTCACCTAATTAACATGCCCAATTAAAATTAATCACCTCACCCTAACACGGGGTTTCCCCTTTTACCTTTATAAACTGCCATTTGCCTATAGGCCACATCTGTCTCCTCTCTATCCAGAGGCAGTTCTTTGGCCCTAGGGGACAAATACCCCTGCCCCCTTTCCCTTGTCCCCTTCCCCTTCTCCCTCATCCTCTAACTTCTGTTTATCTTTTATTTCCTGCCTTCTGTTCCTCTGGGGC